GAGAGCATCAATTGCTCTTTCATCAAGATCGACATAAGCTACCAATCCAGGGCAGAGCTGGGGCCGGCGGCCGGCCCGTGAGAATCAGCGTGAGGCGCTTTGAAAACGACTAGAAATGGCGTGCGCGCCACCCCCTCCCCCCTCATGGACAGAGACGCGATCCCGGCAGCAAGCGGGGGATCCCGGCAGCACGCGGGGTTTCCCAGAACTGCTTCCAGGGACTCCGTCCATTCCACCCATTTTGATATGTTTTAAGTCTGTTTCTAGAGCTACTATCTTCTGGATGTGTCATATTATCTTGTTTTTTGAAATTTCTTTGATTACTGTATTCAGATTTGTACATCTGGTGAAACAGTTATATCTACCTCTTTTATGGGATTACCTTCATAATAAGCAGCTTTCTTTTTATCTTGGTGCATTGGTTTGTTATACATTGTTGAAGCTATTTGTATCTGGGCACCATAGTGTAATCTTGTTTGGTTGGGATTACTGAGTTTGGCCACAATCCATACCTTATTAAGAGTTGAAAAGGTCCACTATCTCTTCCTATCACACAAAAGTGGAGACTCTAGCAGTTTAAGCAGGGATGATGCCACTAGCAGTTTAAGCAAGGACAACAGAGTGTGTGGGGTATACCCTGTGTCTCTACTCCTACAGTAAGAGTCATGGCTCCTAGTGGGTGATGGAGTTTCCTTGGGCACTGTTTTTGTTTTTGTTTTTGTTTTTGTCGTTTTGGTCCTGGGGATCAAACTCGGGACCTTGCGCTTGCGAGGCAGGCACCAGAACCACTGAGCTAAATCCCCAGCCCTCCTTGGGCACTGTTGATGTTGGTTCTAATACTTGAATCTGGCACTGGCTGCACCAGTAGTGGTGAGTAGCTGGAGCAATTGTGCTCTGACTAGATGTTGTGTGGGACCAAGAGCTTCATGGAGAGAGGAGGGACAGAAGCCTCATCACCCCTCTGTGACACTCTCACCCAGTCTGGTCAGCACTGCATGATGAGACAAGTTGCGGTGGCAGCCCACAGCAGGGCCTGTGTAGGGGTGTGGGCAGCGTGAGTCGTGTTCCTCTCTGCTGCTGCTGCTGTGGGCTTGCCTGCCCAGGTGTGGGACCTTAGACTTCTGCCTAGGTGTCCATACCTGGGAATATGGCGATGCCCCCACCCAGTTTTTTACCCTTAGTGCCCACCAGGTATAGAGTGGGGGAGGGGGTTTGTAGCTGTAACCAGGCAACATCTTCTCAGCTGAAATGCTCATGGGAGTGGCTGGTGGTGGGAAATATTTTTTTCTCTGACCCTTCTTAAGGCTATGAGCCCTGAGGGTGGGGAGAAAGCCAGGACCAGGACAATGCTCAGAACTGCCCCAGCATGCCCCTATTGGCTAGGGGTGGTATAGCCTTGAGTTCTTTCTTTGCCTTGTGTCAGGTGCCTATGGGCGATGCTGGGGGGTGGGGGTGGGGAACAACCTGAGTGACTTCCTTCAGTCCTGACACTGTCGTGAAGCCATGTGCTCCTGCTCTCAGAGAGCGAGCTGCTAGATAACTCTTTTTGAGGTGGCACACTGTCTTCCTCTCCACGTCTCAACACCAAGTCCCTACAGTACCACACTCTCTGGGTTTGTGTCAGAGTCTCTCCACTGAGCCAAGTTTGGTTTGTGAGGTACCCACCATCTATGTCTACACAGTGGAAAGTCTGTGTGTCCCAGAGGTGGAAATACGGAAGGGTTCTGACCCCAGAGCTGTCCATAGCAGACAGTAGGTTCTTCTCAAGATGGCTCCTGGGCACAGCAGCCTGGGAGTTTGCTGGGAAATGATGTGAATTCCTTTTCCCAAGTGCAAACCTCAGGTACTTATCTACTTCCACTGCAAGCCTGGAAGGACTGTGAAGCTCCCCAGAAGCTGACATTGCCACTGGCCACACTGACAAAAGTTGCTGAGACTCTCTCACCTCCAGGAGGTAGACTCCTCCTTCCCCAGCTGTGGAGCATGGTCCACAAATGCCAGGATGTTTTGTTTCTCTTACTGTGCTGTTGTCCCAGATCTTAAAGATTTCCGTTTTTTCTTTTGTTGATTTCCAGTGTTCCCCCATCACTCACCTCAATATGCAGCCATACACCTGCATCTTTGCTTTGGTGGTTCTTTGCGAAGAAGCGAGCTCTGAGTGCCCTTACTCTGGCATCTCTCTGTCCTCTGAACCTCTATTTCTTCAACCAAAAATGAGAATTATAACTATTTTATTACAATGTAGTAGGTACTTCAATAATTATTTGTTTTCTTTTCTTCCCTCTTGCTCACTTTTTAAGGGTCTTCACTTAAGAAATTAACTTTTAATGATTTTCTTCCTCCTTTAAATGACAGTTATATGTTCATTTTGCTGTACAGTTAGTCATGAGTTTGAAGCCACCTGTATTATTTTTGGTTTTAGATCGTATGTGCCCTCCCACATGAATTGGAGCACTTATTCTTAGACTGATGTTGCTCTCACTTGTCAAAAATCAGATAACTTCATGTATTATCTTTAAGCTCCTACAAGTTTGGTTTGAGGGATCAGCCTCAGGGATATAACCTTTGCAATTCAGGGAAATGAAAAGTCTGCTTCAGATACAATTGACTCCTTTTTGACTTGACTTGATTTAGGTTCCATCTCAGGCTGGCGAGTGCAGTTAGGCAGGTCCATCCAGAAGGATCTGAGAGGAAGATAGGCAATCACCTAAGGGATCCAGGTTACTTACAGTCAGAAAAATCATCCTGTCTCTCATTTCTTTGACTCTCACGTGTATTTTTCCCTTGGAATAGAGGTGTCAGGTTTATAATAGAAAAGAATCTGCCAAACAAACACTGGTTCCTTTGTGTCCCAGGGCAGTAGCCATGGAACCAGATGCTGTGTTCTGGAACCTTCTGCTGTGGTACCAGTAGTGGGTCCTTCATGCTCCTCTACAATGCTGGTTTGGTGGACAGAAGTGACATCTGCCTAATAAATCATTCATATTGTACAATTTGACCCTAAGAATTGGTTGAGGGTAATGTTTGAACTTTGGTCTGTGCTATATGCAATAAAAAGTCTTTAACTTGGACAGAGTAGGAAAGAAGGCAGATTTAGTGATAAGTCTGAATTGTAGCGTATTTTTAAAAAGATGCCATGATTTGGATTCCCTGTATGTAAGATGCAGGGGTAGGATTTTTCCAGTACTAACCTTCAACAATCTTGAATCAATAATTGGGTGAATGTTGTCCCAAAGGATCTAAAAAAGTAAGGGTAACTAGTACAGTGTTAGCCACAGTGCCACCAAGACATTTGTAGAGATGTCAAAATCGTGGTCCTTATAAACTGCTAATTACTCTCCAACTCTATGGGACACCTTACCCTTTGTTCCTTCCAGCCTTCCTCTCAAAGGAAGATCTCAATGCCAGTCCTCCTCCGACGTGATAGAAGCTGAACAAATGTGTTAAATTTTGAGGACTACATATAATCATGCACATAGACTATTTCATGGTCAGTAAATGCTATATAGTTTTACTTCATCAGCAGCAAACTTCTCTTCCTTTAGACAGTTCAGTCATCACTTCCTCAGGGAAGCCTTCTGACCCCACCTCATTATGTTCAGTCCCATTTCCCAGGGGCCGTGCCATGCCTGCCGCTTTGTAGAAACACAGCACATACTATGTTCTTTGAAGGAAGCAGGGAAAAGAAGACAGGACTAAAAATATTAAAAAATGTTCTCAGTAACTTGAGAGTGGTTGTGATAGTTAATTTTCTGTGTCAACTTGACTGGATCTTGGGATGCCCAGGTACCTGGAGAAATGTGATTCTGGGGGTGTCTGTGAGGGTATTTCTGGAGGAGATTAGCAATTAAATGTGTGACCTGATGAAAGCAGATCACCCTCCCCAGTGTGGGTGGGCCCTGTCTAATTCATAGGGTCCCTGAAGAGAACAGAAAGATGAAGGAAGGGAAGATGCGATGCGTTTTGTGCCCTCTCTGTCTGATGGCTTTGGCTGGGACGTGGCTCTCCTCTCGGTATTTCTCCAGGCTCACGGTGTGATTGGTGCCATCAGCTCCCTACCTCATACCTTTGACCTTTCTTGGGTCTCCAGCTTGCAGAGGGATTGTGAGACATTTTTAGCCTCCATGATCCAGTATCATTAGACTCTATGATCCAGTATCTCACAGTAAATCTTCATCTAACTAGCTAGCTAGCTGTGCTCTATCCATCTATCAGTCTGTCAGTCTAACTTTCTATCTGTCATCTGTAAACACATGCTATTTCTCAGGAGGACCCTGATTAACAAAGGAGCCAAACACTGCCAAGTACCATTACTTTAGGTGCCTCACCTGGGTGGGCCTAAGTGGAGAGTCTGTGGCTATCATGGAGCTACTCTCCGCGTACACAGAACCCCTGAGGAAACACTAATTTTCAAGCTCTCCTTTAGGCTGCCTTCCTAGCCCTACATTCTGATCTGCAACTTCCAGGAGTCTCACAAGCAAGAACAAACCAGTTCTGAGAGTCTCTGAAGGAAGCACTTACAGCAGGTCCCCTACCCAGCACCTGTGATGGTGACATTACAGCAGTTGGGGACTGATTTAAGATTTGTGTTTCCTGGCAGATCAGGCAAAAGGAAACATTCTTTTGCACAGCTTTCTTTTTCTAGCCAAAGAAACCATTCAAATGCACAGCTGACAAACATACTTTCTTGGTACCAAACTCAAGCAGAAATTTCTGGGCGGGCAGCTCGGTTTCTTCTACGAAGGGTCACGTAGATGGCCTGGGGATGAGGTAACACCCAAGCAAACCCTTCCACATTCTGAGTTTCACTAGAGAACACCAGTCCACTGTCTTTCCAGTGGGTTTCATGTCTTAAGTTTCCTTGGCTTCTCCTGACCTCCAGAGACTTCACAGTTTCAAGGCTAAGAGCAGAAACCCTCTTTGCAGGCCTCCCACTGCACATGAATGCTCATCTGCTGACATCTGACTATATCAATATTTTAAAAGCAAAAGCAAGTCTGTATTTCCTCTTTGTTATTTATTTATCCACTATCTGGCTAGATCAGAAGACGAAGTCTAGAAGGAAATTTTTCCTCCTTCTTTTTGCTAATGAGAATATAGCAGAGGGGTGGAACAAGCCAGAGGCTGGATGAAAACCTGGAGGGAACATGGAAGGCAATCGGCCCTTCCCCGGTGCCACAGGTACGCCAGCCCAAGATGAACTGCACAATGAACAGGCAGCTGGGATGGTCTCCTTTGAGGTGCAGGGGAGCCTGAATGGTCCAGGCCTCCTGCTGCTCCTGGAACAGTCTGTGGAAGATGGTGTCTCCGGTGCCTCCCAGAGTGGTATGGTTGAGCCTTCCGCAGGCATCTGAGCTGTCAGTGGGAGCCTGTGAGAATCAGGAGTGAGGGAAGGATAAGAACCAGCTGAGCTACCACAGCTGAGGGATACAAGAACTTCACAGTAAATCCAGTTACATTCACTCCCCCCCCTTTAAAATGATTTCTATCTCAATTTGATACCCATTATAAAATGTTATCAAATTAAGCCTACCTTCTAGATCAACAGAAGTGAACATTTTTGGGGTTTGTTTTATTTTGCAGTGCTGGGGATCAAACTTAGGGCCTCTGGTGTGTTACACAAGCCCTGGGTTGCTAAGCTATACTGCCTCAATCCTTAAAGCCACATTTCAGTAAATTAGTACACCTGACCCTCCCAATTTTTAGGCTTCCAGCTCAAAGAAAGGGAAACAGGAATCTGACCAGATGAGAAAGAAATCTGTATCACCAGAGGGAGACTTAATTAACCTTTGGTCTCTTTTCAATTATTTCTTATTGTTTAGGAGGAAAACTAATCTTTGCCCTTGCTAACATTATTTTAACTTCTCTTGCTGAAGGTCACAATACAGGGGCACCCTTGGAAAATTCTCAGTGCCATTTCTTACAGACTGGAGAGAGAAGGCATTTTTATTTCAGGTTGTTAATGTACCTTTTGGAGATGAAGCCTCAGATCATAAGAAAAATGAGCAAAGAATGTTGCTATATGGCTGATTGAGTGATACTCACCCGAAGGGACCCACCTTGATCTTGCCTAAGCAGTGTCCTCTCAGCTGGGTGTTTGAAATCAGCCACTGACTATAGAAACCAGTAGCAGCAGAATAAAAAGCTACCTTGACATGTTTTTCAACTTGGAGAGTGACCCCTGCCTTGATGTCACCTAAAAGATAAAACCCATGGTGGAGCCATTATAGGGGAAATATATCTTTAAGCGAAAAATGGATCTTTCTGTGAAGGCACAGGGTCTCAACTAGAAGCAACTAGCAACACCACTACCACCACCCTGCCCTGCCAACCTGGAGGTCATAACTGGGAAGCAAGGGCCACGAATGCTGCTAAACACACTGTAAGGTACAGGAATATCCCATCACAAAGAATTTTCCCACTCAATTCCCCCCAAAATCTCCCTTCTAGTATAAGAACAGAAGACCCTTCTGCATCCACAAAGAGCCCATTGTCACCTGAGCAGTTTCCATGACGTCTTTCCAACTAGTTCTCACTCTTTCCTGAAGGTCCCAGTGCTCCAGGGGACTTCAGGGAAATGCAAATTCCACAGTGATTGATTAAAAAAGAGATAGTCTTCCAAACCATTTGTCTTGCCCTTGTCCTTAATCTTGATTTGCCTGTAGGTTACTCTTATCATAAAGACAGCATGAATGACTGTCTCGAGCCCTTCCTCATTAATGCTGCTGGAAATTGATGAGTAGCTCTCTGGAACTGTGGGGTTTTTTGGCAAGAATTATAGTCCTTATTTATTTTGGAGGACCCGTGCAGCTTTCTAAGTAAATATGTGTAGAAAATTCCACCCAAAATAAACACTACAAGTAATTGCCTGATAGATGAAGTTGACATTTTGGCTTTGTGATTTGCTATGATATGTAAAAATCTAATTTTCTCCATGGATTGATGCCACAGCAAAATTGTGAGTAAATTAGAATCAGTGGTTTACTTAGAATGTGAGTAATAGCTTCTGTTATGATGTATCAATATTTATTTACAGTTTCTTAAATCAACCTAAATCCACTTGGCAGAATGTTAAATAGATGAATAAATATGGTAGCAGAATGATGGGGACATCAGTTTTCCTCCTTTGACCTCAGGTATGAAAATTCTCCTTGAGAAGGCACTTGATGATTGAAATTTGAACATCCTCAGTACAGTTTTGAATTGACAGAAAACAATTTCATTGAGTCTATAATAAATTCAGAGTGTGTCTAAACCAAAACTTCCACCTGCTTCACTATCTCATCAGTGAGACAAGACTAGCAGCAGCAGCCCTGAGGGGTACTTCTTTGGACTATCAGTTTCTATATCTTAATATTTTCAGTCAGTATAGAAAGAACTAGAATGTCACAGCAAACAGCCAAACCATTGGTAAAAGCTACCTCTTAGATAAACATTTGCAATGAAAGAAAAAAAAGGTTCAAATTAGACCTAACAACATTTCCAAATAAATAGTTAATGAAAACTTCCTCATTAATTGTCACCCCAAAACAGAAAGCAAGGACCTTGGCATATTTAGGTTAGTTTGCCTTAGGCTCTTGTTAACATTCCAAAATTAATTTCAAAACTCTAACTGAAGCATATTTTTTCAAAAAAATCTACTTTGAGATTTATAAAAAATAATAATTACAGAGGCTAATTGTCTGAGAATTTTATGCAGTCATTTTACAGGCTGATATATAAGTGGAATGAATTATCTTGGATCTCAGTATTTCCTTCCTTTAAATTTATTTCAAGGGCATAATGTTCATCACAGTGCTAGTCATATGATAAACAGATAATTAAATGTTCAAAATGATAGAGTTAAATCAGTTTTACTGTATCTATATGATAGAATATTATGCAGCCACTAAAAATGGTGGTGTAAACCAGTACCTACATGGAACAGCGATTCCAGGCTTGTAAGTGAACGCAACTTGTTACCTCCAGCAGTCGTGATATCACGTAATTTCTGGTAGACACATTTGTGGCAGATCTCGTCTCTTGGTATTCATGCTCCCCATGAATTGGGTGGAGTAAAGGGTAGACTGGACCCATATAACCAATTGAATGTGCACAAATGCTAGACAGTGACTTCTGAGGCACAGTATGGCTTCTCGATTGCCCTCCTTTGTCACTCTCGGTGGGGGAAGCTGGCTCCCTGGTGAGCATGACTCAGGCAGCTGTGTGGAGAGGAACCAGCAGCCGCAACAGGCCCAGGGAGACTTTAGTGACTGCATTGTGACTGCAGCTTCACAAGAAATGCTGAGAGGGAACCACCCAGCTCATCCACTGTCAAATCCCTGATGCAGGGAACTGTGAAATAATGAACACTGTTTTAAGTCCCTAAGCTTTGTAATAATTTGTTACACAACAATAGGTAACCACTGTCATAATTTTATAAAAATACGGAAAATCATACCTCAAAATTAGCAATGAATATCTCTCGTACTTTCCCCTGTATACTTTCCTATATTGTGGAGTGTTTTTTTTTTTTAATGAACATATATTCTATTGGTAGGAGAGAAATATTTTATTTTGAAAAAAAATTATTTCTTTTTTGGGAGAAAAAGGTAGAATTGGATTCCTAGAATTCCTGATCCTGGCCAAAGATTCCAAAGAGCATGAGTAAGTAAGAAAAGAAAGTGGCTGTAACTACCACCCGTTAGCAAATGTGCTCGAGAACGCAGGGCAGGAAGAAACAGTCTTGGAACAGCCGAGATTTAAAAACAAACCCAAGAAAGGTTTTCCACCAAGTTTTCAGCAGGGATAGGCTGCGTCGTTCTGCTCTAAGCTGCCCTGAGGTGACTGACTCACTACGATAGCCACAAAGACAGTGCATCTGCAGAAACCCTGAAATGGCTTCCTAACACATCAGTGCTTTGCATTACGGGGAAACAGCGAGTGCGCTTAGTGGGTGGGGTGCCAGGATCAGTGCCGTCCATCACAGCGTCTGAAATTCTACCTTCAAGGTTTCCATCCTTTGAGCCTCCGGTTGGCTTTGGTCTTCAGGGACACCTGTCGAAGGCCAAACGTTCCTGACTGCGGTGCTCCTTACAGAGCACTCTGGTGGTGTTTGGAGAGCCAGACACTGCTGAGTGAGACCAGGGAAATCCTCACAGATGAAGAAAGGGAGGGGAGAAGAGGAAGGAGAGAGGTCAGAAGGCGCTCCCTTTAAGTACTGTCAATGGAGCATCACTTCTGTTGCTAGTCAGAGTTTTTCTTCAGAGATGAGATATTTCAAAATTTCCAATTGCAAAGAGCCAAGTCTGACTTTTTAACAGTATCTCTAGATCTATCAAGTCATAAATTCTCAAATAATTATGTACATAACAGAAAGTTCCTTTGTTCTTATACAGGTAATTAAGCGTGATCCTAAAACTCCAAGACATTCCCCTCGCTTCTTTAACTCTGCCTCATTAGGGGCAAGGATTCACCCCCATATTTCTTCCTGACTATGCACTCTCCACATCTAGGAAATATCTTTCCAGTTGCATTAATGGTGTCCTGAGTTCTAGGGTGCACTCCATTCTCGTGCCTAAGATTCCCCACAATATCCCTTTGTCTGGTGGCTTCACTTCTCAGTGGAGCTGCCTCGCTCTCACCAGGACCCCCATGTGCTGTCCCATTGGTCCTCTTTCCACATCCCCGCACCAGATCCTCACCAAGGATAAGCCCCATTTAGCCTTTGGGGCAGGTGTTGAAAACACAGCCATCAAGTCCTAATGGCAAAGGCCTATGTAGAACCCAGACTCTGCTGGGAAGGTATCAGCTCACCGGGTTAAGGGATGCCCAGGTGGTTGGTAACTCATCATTTGTGGGTGTGTCTGTGAGGGCATTCCAGAAGAGATTAACATCTATGTTCACAGAAATTTCGGTCAAATAAAAACTGTACAGTGTGTCTTCATCTACCTTATTCACTGGGTCTAGCATCTTGTGAATTCTGGCTCTTCCCCAAAGTCAAAAGGACCGTGAAAGGTAAATATTTTGAATCGATTCAGGACATCAAGGCAGCCATAAGGCACAACTAAAGACACTCACAAAAGAGGACTTCCAGAAATGCTTCAGAAAGTGGTAAGAATGATGGGATAAGTGTGTTCAAAGGGAGAGGGAGTATTTTGAAGAAGATAAATGGCAATGTGTCTTTACTGTAATATATTTTCTAATTTAAACATTGTATCTTTTGATCATACCCCCTGTATATTTTTTCCTTCCTCCATAGGATTAAGTCCCAGCCCAATAGCAAATAATAAAAGGCTTTCCACAGCCCAGCCTAGCTGTACTGGTTACTCATGCCTAAAGGCGCAAACCCCTCCCTCTTTTTAAAAAAATTTAAAATTTTTTATTAGTGCATATTTGCAATACATGCAGTTTACAGTCATCTTGAGAAGGAGGTATATGTTGATAATACAATTTGTTTCTTTTTTTACTCCCCATTCCCTTCTCCTTCCCTCCCCCTCTAATTCCCTCTCCCATTTTCATTCTTGTTGATATTATTAATCTTAGCTCATATTTGTGGCATATCATGTTTGCATTCATTGGGGTTATTGGGTTCCTGTACATGGCATGTCTTTTTTCTACTTATTTTCCCTTCTATTCCCTCTCATCCCTTGTTCTTAATCTCTGGGGCTCCTTCCCATTTGCAAGAGATCCATCTCCTTGGCTCCTTCTATCCATTGATTGATTGATTGATTGATTGATTGATTGTCAGTACTGGAGATTGAACCCAGGGCCTTTGCACTGAGCAACATCCCAGCCCTATTCTATTTTTTCCCTTAGCGACAGGGCCTCAGTAAGCCACTAAATTGCCTAGACAGGGAACTGGGATTAGTGCTAGGATTATAGGTGTGCACCATCACACACAGGTACAACAACCGTTCTCGTAGCTCAAATGTCTATATGTCAGCTGGAGGCTCTCATTTGGGCTTGGCAGGGCCACCTCATGTGGGGCAGCTCTGCTTCCTTTTCCTAGGATGCACAGGTTAGCCTAGCCCCACCCCTTCCCTGCCAATGGAAAAAGCACAGTGAGACCCAAAGTTTGGACCAGACTCGTGGTTACTTCTGCTTTATTCTGCTGATCAAAACATCCCCCATCAAAGCCCAGAGTGAGAGAAGGAGGCGTTTGTCAGATTGTGTGACAAATAGATTGGGAGAGGGCAGAGAATGGAAGCCATTCATCAATCTACCACATCAACTCTCCAGACTTATACCTTACTGCTTTTACCTAGGAGATCATAAACTTTGGGTCCACTCACTCCACTCCCTCTCCTACTTTCCTCATCTCTGTGCATTGGCCCAATGTTTTCACTCCAGCTAGACAGTCCATTATACTTCTATTCACACTCCCCTCCCACCCAATTAATACTTCCTGTTTTTTAAGACTCAAGTCCAGAGTCATTTTCTCTGAAAAATCTTCCATGTTGAGAACTAGAGCATCTGTACAGGCTTACGAGACAGCTGTTAACAGTTCTCTCTACTCCTTATTCAGTGATGATGTATTGGAACCCTGA